TTCCGCTGTGAGAGGCAGATCTCGACTTTATGTTCAGGAAAGGAAAATCTTAGACTCACTGTGCTGAAAGGTATTCCAAGCTGTATTATAATGGAAGGAACAGAAGGCTGGGGAACATGGGTTTAAGTGTGGCTCTGCCACATTCTAGCTGTATGACAGAGCTTGTTATTAAATGTCTTTGAGCTCCAGTCTTAACCTCTGAGAAAACATAGTCTACTTGGATGCGAAAAGCAACTTTTGTGAAAACAAAACATAGAATCCTAGAGGTCTCAGTGAAGAAAAATAATACACGGAGAATCTGAAGGTTGGCAGGACTGGATAGCCTTGAACAGCTGGGGGTCTTCAAGGCGCCACCTGCCTTGATTCCTGGGACCAAGACTGCAAAAGAAGGTTCTGACCTGGGAGGTAGAAAGGAAGGTACTGGAAATTCTATTTACCAGCGAGAGAGCCAGCAGGAAACAGATTACACAGTATCCCCATAAGCTACCTGGTCTGGCTAGGTACAAGTGGGAAAATTCCTTATAATGATGATTTATAATGCTATCTTTAAGATAGTAAAGTAGCAAAATAAAAATTTTAGGCAATTTCCTTCTTTAAAAGAGTCTGCCAAAAGAAAAAAATTATTTTTCAAATAATCAAATCAGGAAAAGTGGGTTACCAGAAAGGTCAAACCAAACACTTCTAGAGGAACAACCCACAAGAAGAATGAATAACAGCCTGGGGTTGAAGTGATGTCCTAGTGTGTGGAAGAGAACAAACACTTTGGGAAATGAAGCTCATGAGCTCAATCCCATCTGTATTAGTCAGGATTCTCCAGAGAAATAGAATCAGTAGGATACATATAAAGAAAGGTGTATTATGTGAATTGGCTCAAGTGATTACAGGCTGAGAAGTCCCATTATCCACCATATGCAAGCTTGGAGGCCCAGGAAACCAATGGTTCAGTCCCAGTCCAACTCCAAAGGCCCAAAAACCAGGAGCTCCAATGTCCCAGGGCAGGAGAAGATGAAGGTCCCAGCTCAAGAAGAGAGCAAATTTGCCCTTCCTCAGCCTTTTTGTTCTATTCAGGCTCTCAGTGGATTGGATCATGCCCACTTGCATTGTTGAGGGGGATCTTTTTTTTGTTTGTTTGCATTGGGTCTTCGTTGCTGCACACGGGCTTTCTCTAGTTGCGGCGAGCAGGGGCTGCTCTTCATTGCAGTGCGAGGGCTCCTCATTTTGGTGGCTTCTCTCCTTGCGGAGCACAGGCTCTACGCACAGAGGCTTCAGTAGTTGTGGTGCATAGGCTCAGTAGTTGTGGCTCGTGGGCTCTAGAGTGCAGGCTCAGTAGTTGTGGCACATGTGCTTAGGTGCTCCACAGCATGTGGGATCTTCCTGGACCAGGGCTCGAACCCATGTCTCCTGCATTGACAGGCGGATTTTTAACCACTGTGCCACCAGGGAAGTCCAAGGGTGATCTTCTTTACTAAGTTTACCAACTCAAATGCTAATCTCTTCTGGAAACATGCTCACAGACATATCCAGAAATAATGTTTTACCAGCTATCCAGTCATATTTAACCCAGTTAAACTGACACACAAAATTAATCATCACCCCATCTGAGACCACCCATTACTATTTGGAAGTATACTCAGTCCAGCCTCATAGTATATTCACCATAAACTTGACAGGTAGAGTGGAGCCCTCAGGTACACTGTTAAACAGGTTGGCATTAAGATCCTTGCAAGATGATGAGGTTGACAGCATCACTCTCGGTGGCTTTAGATTCTATAGGTTCTGAGCATTTGAAACAATGATCCTTGAGTTTAATGCAATGAACCCTCCTCTCCTGACCTCTAAAACACCATTTCTAGACAGATATTTTTACATAACTGAACTCAAAATGTTAAAAAAAAAAACCTACTATCTTCCCTCCCCACCTGAGTTCTCTATTTTTTTTTTTTTTTTTGGTACGCGGGTGTCTCACTGCTGTGGCCTCTCCTGCTGCGGAGCACAGGCTCTGGAGGCGCAGGCTCAGTGACCATGGCTCACGGGCGCAGCTGCTCTGCGACACGCGGGATCCTCCCGGACCGGGGCACGAACCCCCGTCCCCTGCATCGGCAGGCAGACTCTCAACCACTGGCCCACCAGGGAAGCCCTGAGTTCTCTATCTTGATTGGGCAGGCCAAAAACCTCAAGGCCATCCATGACTCCTCCCTTCTTCCTCACGCCCAAACTGACATTGAAGTCACCACTGACATTTCTATCACGGCATCCATTTTCCCTGCCATCACACCTCACTCAGACTCCTGTCTCCCCTACTGCGTGCTATATAGACACCAGGATTATCTTCCTGAGCCTGAATGTCATTTCCCTGCTCAAAAATTCTTCAACGGCTTCCCTTTTCCCACAGATTCAAGACCAAAGTCCTCAGACTCCAAAGTGGCCCAACTTGTATTCTTTTATCCTTTCTCTTCTACTCAATGGAAAGCTCTAGCCACAGCAGAATACCTGCTCTTTCAAGAACATATGAAATTCTGCTCATTTGCTCAATGTTCCTTCAGCCTCAAATATCCTTCTTGTGTTTAGTGTCTACCACGTGCAGGGCAGTCTTAAGTGTTGAGATGATGAACAAGACAGAAAGGTCCCTGTTCTCATGGAGCATACATCTCCAGCTCATCTCCAAGGCCCAGGCCAAATCCACACCTTCCCCCCAGTTCTCTACAATTCCTTATATTCAAAAGATGAGAATTCTTTTATACTCCTGGAGTATTTAGCACTGTTTGTCTTGTGTAACATTTATGTACAAACATATCTTCCAGGCTGGACTATAAACATTTTTTTTTTTAACTTACTTTTGGCTGTGTTGGGTCTTCGTTGCTGCGTGTGGGCTTTCTCTAGTTGCGGCGAGCGGGAGCTACTCTTTGTTGCGGTGCACAGGCTTCTCAATGCGGAGCACAGCCTCTAGGCTTCACTAGCTGTGGAATGTAGGCTTAGTTGCTCTGCGGCATGTGGGACCTTCCCGGACCAGGGGTCGAACCCATGTCCCCTGCATTGGCAGGTGGATTCTTAACACTGCGCCACCAGGGAAGTCCCTGGACTGTAAACTTCTTGAGGGTGAAAACCAGGTGGTCACTCACCTTTGCATTATATAAGGGCTTGGACAGTGCCACACACATGGAAGAAACTTAATGTTTCTTGAGTCACATCAAGTCTATCCCAATCTGCTTCCATTTATGATTGAAAAAACACAAAACCAAAAAAAGTGTGGAACTTTGCCTATTTTAAAGAAAAGTAGGGCTTCCCTGGTGGCGCAGTGGTTAAGAGTCCGCCTGCCAATGCAGGGGATACGGGTTAGTGCCCCGGTCCGGGAAGATCCCACATGCCGCGGAGCGGCTGGGCCCGTGAGCCATGGCCGCTGAGCCTGCG